AATGTTAACGGCTCTGTCAATACAAAAATGTGTTTAATACACGTTCTATACGAATATCTTAAACCTAAGAGTGTTGTACAAGGTTGTTAGAAAATGTTCGTTATTTAGATTAAATTTTATGGTTTGGTATATGAACATGTTATAAGAAGATTTTTCATGTTTTGGAGTAACATAAGAAGCACATAATACTCATAGAACACGTCATTTACAGGAAAAATTATGTTAATAAACAATTAATCGTCTTTATTTGTGTTGTGCAACAGAATGGTAATGTATAATTGATAATATACCAATTTTAATTATTAAAACAACATGAATTAACCTTTAATAACGTATATTGCATTATTATGCAGAGGATATGGCAATTATAACCGGTGGAAATAACATAATATGCATTGAATAATTGTGACTTATTTGTATACACGGGAATTGCTTACCTAATATCTGCATTATACTTAGTTTGTAATTGTTCAAAATTTTTAACTTCTTCTATGTTTCTATGAAAGATCTTTTATCAGAAGAACAAATGGTTGGTTGATAAAATGCAATAGCTCGCAGATTTACTACAAAGTAACAATATAAAATCCTTTTATTGTACATCAATTTATAATAACATGGTACCAATTTATACGAAAAAAGAATCTTTAGTATTACAAACTGGTTAAAATTGATCTTTTGATAATATGAGTTTGGAATTTAGTTCTTGTTGTGGTTTTAATTTTTGATTAGAATGCGACTTTCTTAAAAATACTTTAAACGTATGCTGTACCATGGTGTAAATTTTTGTTTAAATTAATTGTAATCGATTATTATTAATCAAAACGCGTGATATATCATTTCATAATATTTGTTACAACAATTTGTCTATCGATTGAGATAATTGTTGTCTCAGAATTGATTTAACTTAAACAATACATTTGGTCCTTTTTTGTTGTCCAAAACATGTTTATAAAATGTTATACTATGTAATAACTGTGGTTGCTTGATAAAATTGGTATTTGCATTTAATATATGCTACCATTTCCTGTTGTTTCGTACTTTCCCAACAGGTTGATAAAAATGGCTTGTAATCATAATTGGTCATGAACCGAAGGCTTTGATTATAGCCAGTATCTTCTTTCTGAAAGTACGCTTAATTATCACCACTAGACCTTCACCCAACTCAGCACACTCTTCATCATGGTCAGTATCAACTGAACAGAAAATGCTTGTACGATAAAATATGTAAAACAGTGGTTAAAGCAGATTATGATTTGTGTGTAAATGGTGAAAGTATATAAAGATTTTGTAGTGAAGTAAGGAGAAACCGAAGTAGTAAATAAATTATATTTAATCTAAAAAACAAAAAAAAGTAGATTAAGATTATAATTTATATCTATGTGTATGCAAAGCAGGAGGAATAATAAAAGAAGGTTTCGTTTTAAAAAGATTATAATTTGTACTTTTTCTAGGAATCGCTATTCGCTTTTTTCATTTTTAAAAAGTGTTTTGTAATTCCCATCGCTCATCCGATCAAATATACAGCATCGTTGATTAACGATATAGAAAGGATTGCCGTAAATTGAAAAAAACGTTCATTTTAATTTTCATCACGCTTAAGCTCGTCCAAAATTTTTACTCTGCTTGATAGAAAAGATAATTTATTTTCATAATCTACTAATCATCCAGCAACTTTGGTAGATTAATTAAATAAAGAAGTTAACGTTACATTTAATTTTTACTGTTTTCATCGATTAGACTAATCATAAAATGCAGCTATTTAATATAAAAAGTTGCAGACTTCGAAGTCAGCATGGCCGAGTGGTTAAGGCGATAGATTCGAAATCTATTGGGCTCGTTCCCGCGCAGGTTCAAATCCTGCTGCTGACGGTGTCTTTTGGTTTTTTATTTATTTTCGCTATTAATAGTGTAGTTTCAAGTTTCTTAGTCTTATATAAAAACGCCTCATTTTTGCGCCGCACATCTTTACATTTTCAAAATTCAAATTTTACCTTTAACCAGTGTATTTATGGTAAAGAATACCAAAACGGTAAAAGTTGGCACTTTACATTCAGCTTAGCTACAATGGTGCTATCACAGCACATAAACCATTAGTACTCTAATATACAACCAAACACCGTTCAGCAACCAAACATTCGTTTACTCACTCTAAAACACGCGTTTCCGATTCCACACACATTTTTATTTGTTTCGTTGTTCATACCCTTAAAAATGTACTTCTTCATTTCACTGCCGGTAGATAGCCGCACATCCGCAATCAACTTGCTTACACACCTCAAGAAGCACCGTCTGGACGTGTTCAAGTTGAATGTGCCGATCAACCACTGGTCATCTTTCGGATCAATGATCGAACTTACCGAGCAGCTGGACGGCCTATGCCGGCAAGTACTCGACCTGTTCAACAAGCTTTTAACGGTCGACCGCGATTTCGTAAAAAGTCCGTCGTTCGTTAAGAATGTCGATCTGAACAACAAGATTGAGCGTTTCGTATGGCCGGGCGATAAATATCCACGCGCTGCGCTTAATGACATGTTTGAGACGTTTGTGGACGAACTCGCGCTTATCAGAAAAAACTTTGAGCTCAGGAGTGCAAATTACGAGCGTAGCAAACGAAAAATGGAGGACATAAGAAGAAGGAAGAATGGAACGCTGAGAGAGGTGGATCTTGCGAACCTTGTGACGCAGAATGATGATTTTGAGTTTCTTGAATACTTTTACGTGCTGATTGATCGGAACGAACGGCTTGAGAACGTGGATGTTGAGGACCTTATCTGTGTGAAAGAGATTGCGGGTGATGAGGAGCAGCGCCTGGTGCAGTGCCTTGGGTTGAGAAGCAAGCGCGAGCACATTGAAAAGCAGCTTGCGGCCAAAAAGTACATTGTAAAGCGCTTTGAGAGCACCAACGAGGACGTAGACCGCATCGCAATAGATTTTAGTGTCGTTGAGAAAGGATACTTTACGTTCATAGACACATATCTGCTAGAGACCTTTGATCTGCTGCTTTGTGTAAAACTTACTAAGCTGTACGTCGATAGCGTGCTGCAGTACGGCCTGCCCAATTCGTACATTTTTCTCGGGTCCAAAGACAAGAGCATGGACAATGTAGTGAGAAGATGGATAAAGGCGCTTAAGAATTTTGATTTTGGGAATAGGGTTGTTGATTATAAAGCATTTGATGAGCGTGTGGCATATAACTCTGTTGAAGAGGTGCTCGTTGATGGTAACCAGTAACATTTATGGTGCGACCGTTTTTAATAAAGAGATACGAATATATGTGCACGTGTAGGCACTTCTTTCTTGATATGTTACGGGTAGGGCGCGGTATCGCTATTTGGTGTGTGTTAGAGCCTTCAGCACAGCGCATTTGTTAAACTTTCTTATTCACACGGGATGGTTTAAAGACTGACACGGGAAGTAAAACGCACTGTAAAGCAAAGCGTAGCAGTAAAAATGATCCCACGAAAAGTTAAATGAATTATTGAATGGATGTGATTAACTCATAGGAATAGGGTCGTGTTGCAGGATCATAAGTGCGCGTATTTGAAGAAAAATACAGGTACGAGTGTAAAAACAGTAACCACAACACTTGTATTGCACATTTATGCTATAGTCAACCACAAATGCCTTGTTAGTGTTGTTTTAAGAGGCCACTTTATTTAATCTTGATCTGGGGAGAGGTTAATTTTAATATTAAGTGGCTAAATTATTCCGTTTATGAAGCTTTAATTTAAATTAGCATGCATTTGATGCGACCCATACTTCTTTGTTCTTAATTTCATTTTAAGTTGGCCATTTTTACATTATTCATACGTCTAAATAACGTAACAAATATATTCCCAGCCAATAATAGCGTTTCTCTAAATATTAACCCTATGTTTTTGAATGAACACCAAAACATGGGAATTAAACAAGAACTTAAAGATCCTCGTTCCAATGCAAAAGTGAGGAATAAAATTTTTACATTTCATAAACGACTAATCAACTTGTGAGTTGTCTTTTTATTATTATGACTAGCTACGCTATTCCGTTTATAAAACGAAAGGTTAAAATTAATGTAGCTTTGGTTCATGTATTCGCTAACTATCCTAAATTTGATCATTTTTATTCATTTCTTGCTGACCAATAGTTTTCAGCAGAAATTACAAAGTGAATTTTATGTTGAGATCAACAATTAATATAAACATTGATTTTAAATAGCTGCTGAGTATGCTTGAGAACCTGTGAATACAATAAAAACATATAACCTATCAATAGTAACAAAAAAGCGAAATAATAATTGTGATTTTTTTTCCGAATTGATCAATCAGCTTGCAAGTTGCCTTTTTATTAGTATTGATGGCGATGAATGCTGCTTTCACATTGATTTAGATAATTACTTTGTTATTCACATCAACAAAAAGATCTTTGTGGTTCAAGCGGTTCATTGTTTCACTAATATTAACTCCTGTACGTTTATTTAAAACGATTTAAACAAAACATTCTTGCATGTTAACACTAGACCTGCACTAAAAAATAGAACGATTAAATTCGGCTGTTGTAAATTGCTTGGTTATACGTAAAAGGTAAAATTATTGCATATACCTTGCTAATCTGCGAAATTATCAATTTGTATATTTTGGGGTGTTTCGCAAATTAATTTATGTTTTTGTGTTTATTTGATTAATACAACATCTTTAGCTCATCTATTTGATTTAGATTTAAGATGATCGTGAAATACAAAAAACTTTAGTTAAATTCACAGTGTACATCAAAAATATCCACTGCATGTGCTGACATAGCTAATTTTCAACCATGGACGAGAGTGCGAGTGCAATGCTGGTCATCGTAAAAAAACCAGCAAAAACGGCAGCAATCTTTCTTTGATCACGTTTCCTGAGTAAAGTGTGGCTTTCGAATTCAGAATTGAGCATTTCGATGAATCCGATATAAAAAAATGATCCGCAAGCTACTCCGTTGAGCAGCTCGGCAGTTTGTGAGGGAAATCGTGCACTGCTCATCATAATCATCCCAAGAACCGTGCCAAGTGGTGTGAGGACAGAGTAAAACACAAGTAGAAGTATCGTCTCGAGTTGCGAAAAACCGCTAGTATGCATTGTTACACTCACAACAAATGCTTCTATCCATTTGTGTCCCAGTAATCCAATAGCATACCACACTAGGCTGGTGCCCGTCTTAACACTGGTTCCTAGGCCTTCCATAAAGCTGTGAACACTCAGTGCACAGATAAATACGAGTGCCTGCAACCTGTTATTCAGTTTTGTGAAGGTGTTTCCGTGCGACTCACGGTATTGCAGGTATAACTTATCGATCGAGAACAGTATGAGAAAGGATATGCCTGCACTAAACGGCGCGATAAAACAGTTTTCGCGCGTATAAACATCAGGAAAGATGTGAAAGATAATTGTGCTCAGTAATACACCGCCCGAGAAGCATTTTGAGTACAGCGACAGTTTTGTGTTTTTGAACAAGGCGTATGAAAATGAGAACAGCAACGTGAACACGAACACGAATGCCGACAACAACAACAAAGCTGTATTACATACCATGCGTATGCTCCACGTGCTTTTGTCAGTTTTATAGCACTTTCCTCCTTTTAGGCTATGTCAAACGCGCGGTAGTGTTGTATCTGTGATCAAAATGCACTTTTTATTCGTAGATGAACAGCTGTTCATTAGTCCATCAGTGAAAAGATTAAAAAAGTAAAAAATGAAAAAGGAGTGCTGAAGAACGGCCAATTCTAAAGTTGATAAACATTTCATAAAAATAGGGCGGTTATTTCTACTTGTGCATCATTTTCTCATCGCAGTCTAGGAATACAAGAACGGAGCAACACATATCTTTTATAACAGCCCGGTGTTACGGGCGAATGATTTATTTTACATAAAAAGACGGTATAATACACGAACATCGCGTCAACGGTACAAAATGAGCATTGCACATCATTTTATGTGAAAAGTCAAACGACAATCACACAGGTTATGTTGATGACATTTACAGAACAATTGCAAAGATCATGCACTACACGTAGGTTACATTTATATTAACTACCGCTTTCACAATTACATACTATGTTAATTTAATAGTTGTAGACATAGAAGGTCAATATTGGAATTAAAACACGTTCTCAATAATTACAATTAAAATAGAAAGAAACATCCGTTTATGGCCCAATACAAGTAGAATGTGATGTTATTAGTTAAGGAAAACCATAATATGGCACTTTTTAGTTATAGCGAGCGTCTATATATGTGATGATGTGGAAGAATGTAAATAAAGATGCTTTTGTGTGAAAAATTATTTATTACTGGTTGTAAGACATTTAATTCAATAAAAATTATAATTAAAGGTTGGTCCTTTAAAAAGAGACGTTTGGTTTAGAATATGGTGCCTGTGTGCGTGTTTATGTTGTATTCATGACAGCAAAAGATACGCTGGACAAATAAATACGCAAGATTTATTCCAATAATCATAAAAAATACAAAAATGAGCTAAAAGAAGGATAGCGTGGTAGTCGTAACAAACCTACAATTATGTCTCGTATTTGTAATATTAACGTGTTTTATATATTTGCTACCGTAAAATAACGTTGTATTTCTTCTCTCGGTGTATTTATGACATTTAACGCTCAGTGTTTATACAGAACGACGATAATAATGACACCGAGTGCATTTTAACAGCGATAAGCTGTGTTTAATTAGGAATTATGGTGAAGAACGTTTCTTTATGAGATAAAACTGTTAGATCATTGTTTTATTAAAAAGGAGTTCGTCTTAAATCTAATTTGATAAATCCAGACATAACAATTTAAACTATTTTCTGCAAAATCAACTAACGATAGTAAATCTATAGATTTAATCATTAACTGCAATTAATAACTGCCCAACACTCTTACAAGGCATGCTATCTGTATCTTTTCAGAACATCCCACAGCTATACGATGCTCGATTTGAGCCAGCTCTTCGTAAATATCGTAATTCACAAATTTCTTTGATTCTCTAATATAACCCGTAAGTCTACGAAAAAACGTCATAAAATCGAGTTCCTCTAATTTCTCTAGTATCATCATTTTTGCCTCCACATATTTTTTTGCACGCGAGAGTTCAAAAACCTTCTCAAAGTCTAATTCAGGTAGAATCATGTTGGCCGTAATTTTGCCTTTGAACTGAGAGAGTCCGTCCAACGTATTAATGAGTGTGCGCATGTCACCTTCGGATTCTTGAACAAGCATATCGATGCACTTGTCATCGATCGGTATGTTTTCCATTTCGGCGATGCTTTTAACACGCTCTTTAATCAGACCTGAACTCACAGGTGAGAAACGAAATTTAGAACATCGTGATTGTATTGCAGGTATGATCTTATGTGCGTAATTAGCAATTAAACAGAATCGCACGTTGCCGCTGTAGTCTTCAATTACACGGCGCAGCGCGTTTTGCGCATCTCTTGACATAGAATCTGCCTCGTCCAATATCACCAATTTCTTCTTGTTCTGAAACGAGCGACACATAGCAAAGCTTTTGATCTGTTCGCGTACTACGTTTATACCGCGATCATCGCTGGCATTCAGTTCGAGCACATTGCACATGATAGTGTGTTTGTACAGGAATTTTGCTATAGCACGTATTGATGTAGTCTTTCCTGTACCGGGCGGACCGTACAAAAGGATATGTGGCAAGTTATCGTGTTCTTGTAGGCTTTTTAATGCAGAAATTACAAGTTCGTTACCCAATACTTCGTCTAGTGTGGACGGTCGATATTTTTCGACAAGCGGTTGAATTGTCATTAAGGGGCCCAGGTTGGATGAGTAAAATATTTTATTGGCGAAAAAGGTGAATTGGTAACGCATTAAGCCAATTTTCGTATCTACCTAAGCTTTTATTATGATGTTATTGAATAATTGCATATGAGCAACCTTTTTCTGTAGTCGAGTCACGTTTACAATTACCGGGTGGAATTATGGCGGCAAAAAAAATCGAGGCTTGTGGGGGAATCGAACCCCCTCCATCGCTTTACGAGAGCGACGTTCTACCGTTAAACTAACAAGCCTTGACACCACCAAATTTTTTAATATACATAACAATCATATATCATATTGTTTTCAGTGTTTCATTTAAAGTTGCTAACCACGACATGTGTCTCTTTTGTTATAGTGCGCTTATTTATGTTGTATCACATTAATATTAACGCTCATAAATTTTTTTTATTTTCCATACGAGTTGCCCCTACTATGGCCTACAAAGCAGCGATTCAGTTACCGCCAGAGTTGACACGAAAGGATATCCCTAAAAATTTAAGGAACAATGAAATATTCAGTTGTAAAAATAAAACATACATATGTGTAGAAATGCCAATTAAAGACCTGTACTGTTGCGGCATTGAGAACGAGACAACGACACAGCTACCTACTGAAGTACATTCATTTTTTTGGATCAGAGAAGCATAGTAAATATATTAAGCATTCTTTTGCCTCAGTGTCATTTTTATACGGCTTTTCCCGTGCATCAACTTGATAGATGATTCGTTGGTCAATGTTCAATACTATATCAGTTTAATTGTTTTTTTAATTCATTGTAGAACATTAGCCGTATCTTGTTTGGATGATATCATAAGAAGAAAACGTTAAATCAAACTAAATAGTGTTTCCTGCTTATTTAGAAAAAAAAATTGATTATACGCTAAATTTTTTTGAATTTCTAAACATAATAAACTGATTTTTGTGAACTTGTAATATTTAGATGCCTTTTCTTTGTGATGACCGAGTACCGTTACAGTTATTTGACTTCCATAAACCAGAATTGCTGTGCTGGCACGCAATAATGCATCATTTAAACAGAGTATTAGACTAAACTTTTATTAACCTCGTACTTCATAATCTTGAGCCTCAACCATATAACTCACCCATGCCTCCTTTTTCACGTTATCGCTGTCCCTTACATCCTTAATTATCAGCTCCGACAATGAAAAGAACTTAGAGGTAAAACTTATCTGAATTGGCCCTAGTTTCTCGTTGTCACTCATCAACAGATCAAAGTCGTATTTGATCTCAGCCTCTTTAAATTGTTCATTTTTAATGATCCATTCGATATGCTCGTCCATAATCTTAATGTGGCCTATATCCGAATCTGCAACTGTATTATACGCTTTCTTACTGATAGGAAACTTTATCGTTATGCTTGACCTGTCGCTTAGACAGCTCCTAAGCACATAGTGATTTTTTTCATTTTTTATGAGTGTAAGCGGCATTTGCACCGGATTAAACGTGTATGTACTTATTACCTTGGGTTTGTCTATTACCGAAAATTTTTTCGACGCTGTATCTCATTTCTATTTCAGTCTTCGGAATTGAGTACTGGATGTAAAGTTGAGTGTTTGTAATAAACTGTGGGCAGCATGTTATTCTTCCCTGCGCATACAGACACAGGACTGTGCCATTATCTTGTAAAATTGCACGGATCTTTTCTTCCACGTCGAATTTCACACGCTCTTTCTTAAAAACTTGATACTTATCACTTTTTGGTTTGCAATCTTCGTCCAACACGTATCCATTGAAAAATTTGTTGTCCATATACGTGAAAAACCTATAATAATCATTGAGATAATCTACCCGTATTTTATCCAATACGCTTAGCATGACGGGCACCTCTAGTTCTTTTGAATGTCCTACCAAGATATGATCCTGCTTTTCTAAATAAGCAATTTCTCTTGATCTAGCTTTCATCAGACCTTGAACATTCAGATTTGGATTGCCGTATAGTAACGTAAAGTCTTTGTCGAAAACACTAATTGTCATCATTTTTGTTTATATTTGAGTAACAATGTATATAAAACAATTCTAATCAACTTTTATTTACCACGTTCATGATGAAAAAGTAAAACAATCAAAATTTGTAAGAATAAACAATTTCAATTCCATATAAACTATGTTTATTGGTTCAGAGATGTTTAATTAACACTGATGTGCAGATTAAAAATTATATTTGGATTATTATTGTCACCAAAGAATAATTATTTAACATGCCTGGTTAACTTACGCTCATATTTATTCATTTTTCAACAATTTATTCTATATATAGTAACACAGACTTAGTTTTGTTATATATGGATTTAGAATAATGTGTGTAATTGAATACCGTGTTATTTCGCTGTTCTGGTCATGATAAGCCTACTAATAATTTTACTATTGAATTAATCAGTTATACTTCTCTAATAAAATAAACATATACGGTCATGTTTATTTGTTTACATTCTCAGAACGTGTCTATGAACTGAAAAGCAAAGATCTGAGATAAAAAATAATAATTTAACCAAAGCAAAATTTAATTTAAATAAAATTCATCAATACAGAACGTGCTACTTAAGTTATCCTTTAATACCAATCCAATATGATTCTATTTTTAGTAATTAACGTGTTCTTTTCCTGGAAACAAAAAATCAATTTTTATATTGAAATGCTAGCTGCATTACTCCATTTTAAAAAAAGAAGATTTATTCAATGGATATTCGATAAGATTGGTTTTTTAGCTCTTAAATTAGACCTATGTCTGTCATTTTCACATTGTTCACAATTCTCAATAGGAATAGGGAAGTTAATTTTCTTCTGGTGGTAACAATTTACCTAAATAATGTCAATTGTAAATGACTACTGAATGAATTTCCTAAGATGAAAATTGCATAAGAACATATAATTTTTTATTTATCACAGAAACGCCAAATAATATTTTTCAATTTTTTCGCCGAATTGATCAATCAGCTTGCCATTTGCCTTGTTATTATTAC